CAACAACCACTGCATTTTCCAGAAGATGAACACTTATATCTCTACACAGCTGATGTTATGCCTGGCCAGCCACACAAGCAAGACAGGTCTTGCAGATGCAGCAACCAGAAAGTCAAGAGGCAAGCAGACAGGAACCTCATCCAGCACCCCCAGCTGTGTACTGTACTTCAACGCCCTTGAAACTAACCAGGAAAACCTCCCTAAGATCTGCCAAGAGCTGAGAGTGAAACTGCCCACCTCTGTGAAAGCTTTCTCTGGCAAAAGGGAGCACAGCTCCTCCAGCCTGCTGGAGTAGAGTCCAGGAGTACTGCACTGAGGACTGGCTTCCTGAACCATCACCAGATGGAACACACAGATGGCAGGTTCCCTTCCACTCTGGGATTATGCATATCCACAACACATTTCTCAAAGTACTTAGGTGCCCAGGAAGAACCCATCCCTGCTAGAAGGAAAACATTTCACTTTCCTTGTATAGTTTTTGTTTTGGTTGTCTGCAAAAGTTCTTGTATTCCTTTTAAATCTAGATTATTAGAGGCTTAATCATAATGGAAATGCTGCACGTCTGGGGGCAGAAGGAAATGGGGACTGATATCGTCCAAGGTTAAGTCTTCACTTGAAAAAAATCCTTGTACGTGTGTGTGTGTTTCCTATTCATACATTTGTGCTGACCATACACTCTTGTATAGAAAATTTTTTAAAAGCTCCACTCTAATTTTTATTCCAAATATGAAAATGAACAAATTTATCTTACTTTCTGCCAATAAAAAGATGTAGTAACTCTTCTCTATTTATAAATACACTGCTCTTCATTTGCAAACATGACTCACTGTGAAACCACCACCAGAGCCCTGAATGCTAACAACAGTTAGCAGCAAGACTGACACATCCAGTGGTAATGTCACTCCAGTGCTTCTGTGGGACCCTGACTCGTCTAACCACTTCTTTCTGCTTCTGTAATTTGCTTGGCTTAAGTCCATTTTGACTAGCTGTTTCAGGCAAGCCCAGGCATATGGCAGCCTTATAAGGTAAAAACAGAAACTTCTGGCCCCACAGATAACAGTCAGTGCATTCCAATGCCCTAAAGACAGCCCCTATCAATAAGAATCCTCCCTGTACTCAGGGCATAGGCCCATCCAATCATTTTAAAGGATGCTTGGTGCATGCGGGCTTCTGTGAAACTTCCCTATAAAAACCTACCCCACCCTAGATTGGGGCTCTCAGTACAGATCTGCTGCGTCAGTGAAATCTGATTGCCCGAGCTTAAGCCTGAATAAAGGCTCTTTGCTGTTGCATACACTACGGACTTCTTGGTGGTCACTGGGGGTTGTGAGATCTGGGCGTAACATCTGGGGGCTCGTCCTGGATCCCCAAGACCCACCACCACCACCACAGGATCCCCCCAGAGCATTGAGTCTGGTCCGGCCAGTAAGTGTCTTTGTCCTCTTGTTTGTGTGTGTTGCACGCTCTTGGTTTTGGGCCCCTTTACCTTGTTAGCCTGTTTGCGGTCTAGGCAGATGCTCTGAAAGACCCCAGGCCATGGGACTCGAGAGACATCCTGGACCCACCTGATAGGGATTGGATCCCGCTTGTAACTTTGGAAAGGAAAGGCGAGTTGCACCGAGATGCCGACGTCTCACTTTTCAGTTCTTGTTTAAGGCACTGGGAAGTATTGTTTTGTCAGTGTGTCTTTGTGTTTTCCATGTTATTTGGGACTTACTTAGTTGAGCACATGGGACAAAGTCAAGTAACACCATTGAGTCTTTTCCAGGATCATTTTTCTGACTTCAAAAAGAAGGCTAGAGGGCAAGGGCTGGGGGTCAAAAAGGGAAAACTCTTTGTCCTTCACAGGAATGAATGGCCAACCTTTGATGCTGGATGGCTGGAAGGGGGAACATTTGACCTCCCCACTATTTTCAAGTTTAAAAATACTATTTTCAGGCAGCCAGGATACCCTGACCAGGTTCCTTTATAAGGAACCTGTGACCTGGCAGGCCCTGATTGAAGAGCCCCCCCAATGGTTCAAACCATTTTTGCCGCCACATCATTCAAAGACAATCATCCTCGCCCTGCATGATGACGAGCAGCAGAAAAGTGAAACTAAACCGTCTGCCCCACTTTATCCTGTCCTCTGGGGCAGAATGGAGGAAGAACTTCTGCGTGAGCCTCCCCCATATCTGCCCACACCACCAGCACAACCAGGGTGTTTAGAGCCCCCAGGAGAGGCTGAGGCAGCCAAAGCCCATAGGGATGAGAACCCCCCTCAAACTCAGAGGAGGGTCCAGAGAGGACAGCCACAAGCAGCGGCAGACTCCACCATCCTTCCCTTAAGGGAAGTAAGACCCCTTAATGAGGCAGGAGACCAACAGATGTAATATTGGCCATTTGCCACCAGTGACCTCTACAATTGGAAATTGCAAATGGCCAAATTCTCTGAGAAACCACAGGGTCTTATTGATCTGTTAGAATCTGTTCTTTTCACCCATCAGCCCACTTGGGATGACATCCAGCAGCTATTACAGGTTCTATTTACTATCGAGGAGAGGGACTGAGGCCTGGAAGCTGGTCCCCAGGGTGGATGGGAATCCCACCACCAACCAGGTGCTGATCGATGACGCCTTCCTGTTAGTCCAACCAAACTGGGACTTCAATATGGCAGAAGGTAAGGAGAGGCTCCGGGTCTACCACCAGACTCTAATGGGGGAGGTCTCTGGGCCTCTGCAAGGCACCCGACTAATTTGGCTAAGATTAGTGATGTGTAGCAAGAAAAGACAGAATCCCCAGCAGCCTTTTTAGAGAGGATCCTTGAGGCATTCTGCACTTATACACCCATGAATCCAGAGGCACCAGAAAACAAGAATGCAATCACATTGGCCTTTGTCAACCAGTCAGCACCTGACATTAGGCAAAAATTACAGAAACTGGATAGACTGGCAGATAAGACTCTGCCGGAGCTATGGGCAGTGGCAGAGAGGGTCTATAACCCAGAAAGCCCAGAAGACAAACAGGCTTGAGCCGCAGCCATGGCTAGTGCCAAGCAGACCGGAGACTTTGCTAAGATCCTTCTGGCTATGACTACAAAGTTGCAAGATGAGCAGGAATGCCAAATGAGCTACCTCTCTGCGGACTCAGTTAGGAAACTCCGGGAAGGGTGACCAAGGTTACAGAGGAATCAATGTGCCTATTGCAAAAAAATGGGCCACTGGATGAATGATTGCCAAGAAAACCTGCTGGGCAAGGCAGGGCCCGAGAAGGAGTGAAAATCCTTGAGCTAGGAGAAATGAGAGACTGGGGGGCTGGGTTTCAGATCCCATCCCCGAACCTAGGGTAACCCTCAAAGTGGAGAGGAGCCCATGAGCATACATGTAGACACAGGTGTCAAACACTTGATATTAACTAAGGAAAACTATCCCATAAAAAGTCCTGGGTATAGAGGGCTACTGGAATGAACCAATACTCATGGACCACCCAAAGAAAAGTGGACCTGGGCAAGGGTCAGGTGTCCCACTCCTTCCTGGTCATGCCAGAGTGCCCCTACCCACTCCTAGGCAGAGACTTGCTCACCAAAATTGGAGCCCACATTCATTTAACCCCTACTGGGGCCCAAATGACTGACCAAGAAGGTACTCACCCTGCAACTGGAAGATGAGTTTAGGTTACATCAAAAACCGGCCTCTATACCAGAGGAGGAGGTTTTCACCTGGCTGAAGGAGTTCCCCACAGCCTGTGCTGAGACAGGGGGCATGGGGATGGCTGCCCACCAGCTCCCCATCTGGATACAGCTTAAGCCTGGAATCCTACTGGCCTGAGTTAAACAGTACCCTATGTCCCAGGAGGCCAGGCTGGGGATCACTCCTCATATCCAATGCCTGAGGGATCAAGGCATCTTGGTGCCTTGTCAATCGTATTGGAATACTCCCCTCCTGCCTGTCAAAAGCCAAATTCAACTGACTATCATCCAGTCCAGAACTTGAGAGAGGTAAAAAGCTGGTTATGGATGTTCATCCAACGGTGCTTAATCCTTACACTCTCCTGAGTTCCTTGCCACCTTCCAGAAACTGGTACACAGTGTTAGACTTGAAAGATGCCTTCTTTAGCCTGCCTCTGGCCAAAGAGATCCAGCCCTTCTTTGCTTTCTAATGGCAAGATGAGGAGATCAGCTTCAATGGGCAGCTGACTTGATGAGGCTCTCCATGAAGACCTGGGTGAGTACTGGCTGGAGCACCCCCATCTTACCCTATTACAATATGTGGATTACATCTTAATAGCTGCTGATAATGTCTCACAGTGTCAGCAGGGAACCAGAGATATCCTGGCGATCGTAGGCAGATTGGGATATCAGGCATCTGCCAAGAAAACCCAAATATGCCAGAGAGAGGTGACCTATCTGTGATGCATATTAAAGGAAGGACAAAGATGGTTTACAGATGCCAGGAAAGAGACAGTGCTAAAGATACCCACCCCTCACTCCTAGAGGGCTGTGAGACAATTCCTGGGGTCAGCAAGATTCTGCCGCTTATGGATCCCAGGATTTGCTGAATTGGCGAGGCCCCTCTATGAAGTCACATGGGAAAGCAAGCCCTTCGTTTGGACAGAGGTCCAGAAAAAGGCCTTCAGTAAGATCAAACAGGCCCTTCTGGCCACCCCAGCCCTAGGACTCCCAGATGTTACTAAGCCTTTTCATCTTTTCATAGATGAAAAGAAGGGGGTGACCAAAGGAGTCCTAACTCAGTCTCTGGGGCCCTGGAATAGGCTGGTGGCATATCTATCAAAAAAACTGGACCCGGTTGCTGCTGGATCGCCACCATGTTTGTGAATTATAGCAGCTGCAGCTCTTCTAGTCAAAGGCAGGCAAGTTAACCTGAGGGCAAGAATTATGTATCACAACCCCTCATGCCATCAAGGGAGTTCTCAAGCAGCCACTGACCGCTGGTTGAGCAATGACCAGATGATCACTATCAAAGCTTGCTCCTTAACCCCCTAAAGATCCATTTTCTCCCAAGCACAACCCTCAATCTCGCCACCCTACTGCCCCATCCAGATCTGGACATGCCCTTGCATGATTGCACGGGGATCCTGAGCCAAGTGCACGGGCTCAGAAAAGACCTGACCGACCAGTCGTTTCCTGATGCAGAAGCAACTTGGTTCACTGATGGCAGCAGTTTTGTGCAAAACAGACAGAGGTACGCAGGGGCAGCAGTAGTAACAGAGATCAAAACTGTCTGGGTGGCAGCTTTACCCGCGGGGACTTCAGCCCAGAAATCTGAGCTGATAGCCTTGACCGAGGCTCTTAAATTAGGCAAGGACATAAAATAGAACATGTATACGGATAGCTGGTATGCCTTTGCCACAGCCCATGTACATGGGGCCATCTACTAGGAGAGGGGGCTGTTCACAGCTGAGGGAAAGACTATTAAAAATAAACAAGAAATCCTAGACTTACTGGCTGCCCTGTGGCTACCCAAGAACCTGGCTATCATCCATTGCCCCAGGCACCAAAAGATAGATATGCCTATAGCCTGAGGAAACCAGAAGGCAGACCAGGTTGCCAAGGAGATGACCCTGAAAGCAACCTTAGTCCTGGATATCCATCTGCTGGACCCAGGGCCACTCATGCTCCCAGACCAACCTGATTATTCTCAGGAATATCTGAAGCTGATACACAAACTTCCCATGACCCAAAAGATTGATGTCTGGTTGCATACAGGAGACTGCAGGATTATCCTGCCAAGTAACCCAGGCAAAGATCTTCTCAATCACATCCACCGTACCACCCACCTGAGCACTTGAAAGACAGAATACCTCCTAAGAAACACACATCTCAAGGTTCTGAACCTCCAATCACATGTCGATTCAATCGCCTCCAAATGTCTTAGCTGTAGGCTGACGAATGCTGAAAACCTTCCCAAAGAACACAGGAAGACTTTATAGAGATAAAACCAGGCAAATTTCTTGTAGATATTTTTTCAGGATGGACTGAAGCATACCCCACCAAGCATGAAACTACACAAATGGTCACCAAGTGGCTATTGGAAGACATTCTTCCAAGGTACCATGTGCCGGCTCTTCTGAGCTCAGACAACAGACCAGCATTCACCTCACAGGTAACAAAAGAGTTAGTGAAAGTATTGGGGGCAAAATGGAAATTACATTGTGCCTACCGGCCTCAGAGTTCTGAACAGGTAGAGAGGATGAATAGAACCCTAAAAGAGACCCTTACTAAATTAACCATGGAGACTGGCCACCAAGGTACCATGTGCCGGCTCTTCTGAGCTCAGACAACAGACCAGCATTCACCTCACAGGTAACAAAAGAGTTAGTGAAAGTATTGGGGGCAAAATGGAAATTACATTGTGCCTACCGGCCTCAGAGTTCTGAACAGGTAGAGAGGATGAATAGAACCCTAAAAGAGACCCTTACTAAATTAACCATGGAGACTGGCCAGGACTGGGTGGCTCTCCTTCCCTTTGCTCTATATAGGGTGTGAAACTCACCCTATCTCTTAGGTTTAACTCCATTTGAAATCATGTTTGGAAGACCCCCTCCCATCCTCCCCAATTTAAAAGCTGAATTAATTGCTGAGTTTGATAACTGTCAATTGCTTGATTCTCTTGAGGCTGTGGCACATGCCCACAAGGACACGTGGCCCTGTCTGAAAGCTATTTATGAGACCGCTCCTCCTCCTACCCCACACAACTACCAGCCTGGCAATTGGGTCTACATCTGCAGACACTGCCGTGAGACCCTAGAACCTCACTGAAAAGGACCGCACATGGTGCTCCTGACTACCCTGACTGCAGTAAAAGTAGACAGAGTTACCACCTGGATTCATCACACCCACATCCAACTAGCGAACCCACACCCAGACCCAGACGACCTTTGCCTTCCACTGATCGCTGCACCCGATCCCAAAAAATGAAAAGTCCACAAGGATGCGGACAACCCCCCCAAGCTAAGACTTCATTGTTCTTACTAGCTTCTATATTGTCCTCTGGCAATGCTCACCCTAACCGTCCCAACACTCTCTGTCAGGGAAATGTACAAAGGGAGAAACCAGGTGGCAGCCATAGCCCATTGCTCCCTAGTGGGCTGTCGAGAACCCCTAGACATCATAGTCCTTGCCAACTGCCCCCTAGTGGGCTGTCAAGAACCCCTAGACATCACAGTCCTAATAATGTTAACTATTGGACCATGTGTCATCAATCGGCTGATTGCCTTCATTAGAGAACGGGTGAGTGCAGTAAAACTCATGATCCTGAGGTTCCATTATCAGCCCATAGATCCCCTCATTAGAGACCCCAACCCAAACTCATGACTGGATCATCCCTAGTTACTAGGAGAGGGGGAAATGTGGGACCCTGACTCGTCTAACCACTTCTTTCTGCTTCTGTAATTTGCTTGGCTTAAGTCCATTTTGACTAGCTGTTTCAGGCAAGCCCAGGCATATGGCAGCCTTATAAGGTAAAAACAGAAACTTCTGGCCCCACAGATAACAGTCAGTGCATTCCAATGCCCTAAAGACAGCCCCTACCAATAAGAATCCTCCCCATACTCAGAGCATAGGACCATCCAATCATTTTAAAGGATGCTTGGTGCATGTGGGCTTCTGTGAAACTTCCCTATAAAAGCCTACCCCACCCTAGATTGGGGCTCTCAGTACAGATCCCCTGCATTGGTGAAATTGGAGGGCCCAAGCTTAAGCCCGAATAAAGGCTCTTTGCTGTTGCATACACTCCGGACTCTTTAGTGGTCATTGGGGGTCATGAGATCTGGGCATAACACTTCTCTCTTGATCCCCAGAGAGGCTGGTCAACCTTGGTGTTGATTCTGTGCACGTACATCTTCTACTCTTCCTTTTAGTGTGATGTTAGTAAGTCCTTTAAATTAGCAAGGTCTATATTGATCATTATGTTTCATTCTTGCAGGAAAATTAGAAACTTTTTACCAGTTTTGATAATAACTTGACAGATTTTTCAGGATTTAGAAATGCAAATCAACTTCTGAAGAAATATAGGAAGACATTTACCCTGGGAACCCATGGCTAACCTGGACTGCTCCTTAAAGACTCAGGCTGTGAAGTGACAGGGCCACCTGGAAAACCACTCTCGTCCAGCTGAGCACTCTACTACTGCTGTGTAAGCTTGAGTCAGTTTCCCAACTTCTCAGGTCTTCTCTTACAACAGCAAAATTAAGGACTCCCACTAGCTTAAAAGAAGGTGAAAGGTATTTATCTGCCTTTTCTGTTTTCAGTGTAGCAACTCTTAAGTTTACTTTTATTAAATATAAAAGAAGTACCATTCTCTTTCTGATGTTCTGATGTTTCTGTAAATAAGATTGTATTTTTTTTTTTTTTTGGTCTTTTTGAGATAGGGTCTCCCAGTAGCCCCAGCTGGCCTGGAACTCACTATGTAGACCAGGCTCCCAGAGCTCCACCTGCCTCTGCCCCCCAAGTGCTGGGATTAAAGGGGTGCACCACCACGCCTGACCAAGATTGTATTCTTTATTTCCTTTGGGGGAAGTTCCTTGTTAGTATATAGAAACACATCTGATTAAAAATTATATTTTAAGGTTTTGTACAAGTATGTTCATCATACCCTGCCGTACCCCCGCCTGCCTTTTCTTGCCCCTTCCCTTTCCTTTTAGTCACCTTTGTCCCACTAGGCAGTTTAATTTCTACTTTCATGTCATGTACAGAAAGAAAATGTGATATTTGTCTCTCTGAGACTAGCTTAATTAATATGATTATATCCAGTTACTTCAGTTTTCCTGCAAATGACATGATTTCATTCTTCTTTATGGTTGAAAAAAAATGCCATTGTGTGTATAGACCTCATTTTCCTCATACACTCCTCTGTTGTTGGACACCACAACTCAGCTACCATGAGCAATGCTGCAATAAACACTGTGCAAGCACGCGTGATATGTTAACTTGAAGCCTTCTGGGTAAATGCTCAGAAGTGGTAGAGCTGAGTCACGTGGAATACCGGCTTTGTGCTTTTTTTAGGAACCTCCATGCTTATTTCCACGTGGCTGGCTGGGCTAGTTTACATTCCTACCAGCAGTGGATAGGGCTGCCCATGGGCCACATCCTTGCCAGCATTTGTTATTTGTTTTCTTAAGAACTGCCATTCTGACTGGGGTGAGATGTAATCTCAACGTGCTTCTGTTTGTTTTTTTGTTTTCAGTGTGTGTGTGTGTGCATGTGTGCGTGCGTGTGTGTGTGTGTGTGTGTGTGTGTGTGTGTGTATTTCTGTGTATGTGTATGGTGTTTGTATGTGTGGTCCATGCATGTGAGGACACTGAAAAATGTCTGGTGTGTTCCTCTAGCATCCTCTGTCTTATTTTCAAGAAAGTGTCTCTTGCTGAACTGGAAACTCAAGATTTCAACTAGATGGGCTGGCCAGCAAGCTCTCAGGATCTGCCTGTCTCTACCATCACCACCACCCTGAATGCTGGAGTTACAGACACACACAGCCATGCCCAGATTTTTATGTGGGTGCTTGGAGTTCACACTCGGGTCCTTATGTTTGCAGATCAAGCACACTTACCCACTGAGATCTCCCCATAGCCCCTTAATGCCATTTTGATGTGCGATGTTTCTGATGGGTAGTGATGATAAATATTTTGTCGTATGTTTATTGTCCATTTGTATGTTATCCTTGGAGAACTGCTTCATTAGCCCATTTACTGATTGGGTTGCTTGATTTGTGCTAGTTTTTTTCAATTGTTTACATGTTCTAGGCATTAATCCTCTGTCAGATGTATACAGCCAATGACTGTATCTTGAAGTGCTTTCCCTACCTTGCCCTCTGACAATTTTGGAGTTTCAAGTCTTCCATTAAGGTCCTTAATCCTCTGGAAATGGGTCCTTGTGCAGAGTGAGAAATAAGTTTTAGTCTCTTTTTCTACCACCACTGGTTGAAGATACTGTCTTTTCTCCAAAGTGTAGTCTTTTATTATCTTTGTCAAAAACCAGGCAGCTATGGCAGTTTGGGTTTATACCTGGGTCTTCAATTCCATCCCAGTGTCTGCTCTTGCATGTGCTGTGTTGTTTCTGTTGTGATGCTCTGTGGAGGAACTTGAAATCAGGTCCTGCTTCCAGCATTGTTTTGTTAAGATTTGTTTTGACTATAAGGGGTCCTTGCGCTTCTGTATAATTTTAAGATCTTTTTTTCTATTTCTGTGGTCTGGCTTTGGCATTTTGATTGGAGCAGAACTGAATCTGTAGATTTTTGTAAGATGGCCAGTTTCACAGTATTCACTTTTCAGAATAGAGAGCATGAGAGGTTGTTCCATTTTCTAGTGTCCTCCTTAAT